ATCCACACCATTCTAGATGCTAGATAACTGTGTTGGGTTCGTTAACGTGTACGAGTTTGTCCCCATCCGAAAGCACTAATGCAACCACTCACGCCGTGCCCAAGCGGGCTTCGAACCTCTGCAAACACCTGAAAGTGGCATAATGAACCAAGAAAAACACGAAAGTCTTTATGAAAAAAATAGGGACCACACTAGTACTGTTTGAAGAAAACCACACACTTATCAGAGAGATGCTGACATAAGATAGGAATCAATCAACAACGACTCCCTTAGCTCACAAACCGTTTAGTGTTTGACCAATCAAATTTAGTTATCTGTACGGCATAAACAACCTGTTGTGAACAGTCAATTCTCGGTATATTGGTGACGTCACCAGCTGGGTCAACGACCGCACGAGAATGTGAAACGTTCCGTCAGAAATTATATTTTCAAAACAAATAAGACGTTTTATTGATCGATATAGAAGCAAATCTCGCGTGCATGATTAAGATTTATATTGCAAATTGGATCCATACTTTAACTTACTACTGAACGCAAAATTTACATTCTTTCAATGTCCACTTTAAAAGATTACAGGCTTTCCTCGATAGCATGGCACACTATCTGTATTTTATCATGAAGATATTTGCCTTTGAAGTTAACTAGTTGCTCGTAAAAGAATACTACGAGTGTTCTGTATTTGTCATGCACTATAGAGTCATCGTTATGTGTGACTAACCTCAATAGTGTGACAATACAACCAACACAAATTTGGTACCAAGCGTCTACCTTAGCATTCCGAATCCATACATGAAACCAAAATGAAATACCAAAGAAAATCAATCTACGAATACCTTCTATTTTACTGGAATACAATCGCGCATGTACCTTCTCAATTATTTAAAGTCACGGCGGATAGTGTTTCATTCAGACGAAAGCTTACCACGCCAGACAGGTAACCAAGCGAGACAGAGACACCTGTTAACACTGGACACCATTGCTTCAATCGATAGCAGCTTAACCACAAGGCGGTATAAGAAGCCATTTCTTCCCGTGTGTGCTCTTAGGGTTTAGCGGAGGGAAAGAAATGAATGTCTGTAAAGGTCGGAATGAGAAATCGATTGGAAAATCTTCTTGGATAGACTGGAAAGCAAATTGTGATTGAATACCTAACGTTTCGTGACCGACGTAAAGAAGCCCAGTGTATTCATATCATATGCGAGTGTATTCTGAGTTTTCAAAAGCGAGAGTACTTAGTATTAATAATACCTCAAGACAATATATGCTACCCTGTGTTAATAGAAGTTAGATGTTCGCAGAGCTAGGCAGACAATTATCATGCATTCTTAAATTACAGTATACTACACAGAAATTAAAAACGAAACGCCCACCCAAGAAATTGAGAAAAGAATGTACATAAATATTTGTTCTATGTACTACCGTCTTTTGAAATGAAACAGTCGCCATCTCTTCTAGTAAAATCACCACCGTGAAATCTTGTTTTGTTCTGACAGAGACTGGCGAAGAGAGGCTTAATTCAGTGGAAGGATATCCATTGTCCGTGCGGATAGAACAGATGTAGAGTAGGTGCAAACGCGCACGCTATGTCCACGGCCCAACTCACTCTATATATAAGCACTTTGTGACAAAAAATGTGCAATAAAGGCCGTCATTCATATGTATGCTATCTATTTCTGAACGATTTTTCAGAACGGTTATAACTGTTGTGTCTATAGGCCCATCACTTCGCGTACCTAACGTGGTAAACAAAAGCCCATGTCAGCCCACCTGTCTTCGCCTGTCACCCATCTATACCGTCCTGTCGTAAAACATGTTTACCTACCTGCCGCTCTCACGGAACCGCCACCCGGATGGTACGCACGCCGGCTGTGTAGGGTCGGCCGATCGGTGAAAAACAGACCGCTAGCGCGATGGGTGATCGTACACGTCAGGCATTGTCCCTCGTATCCAGCGGCGCGCTTGCACACATCGCCGGCGCTGGCAGGGAAGGTACACCGCCCGGAGGTTGTACCGTGCGCGGTTGCAGCGTGGTGAAGACAGCGGGCGTGGCGGTGTAATAGCGGTGTACTTTATACAGCGACGTAAACGCACACACACACGCGGGGGCGATGCTGGCACTGGCGAAATATGTAATCATGTCTGGAACGTACCACTGAGACAGGTGTACGGAGGGGTGCACAAATATCATTCTGTTCGGTAAAATCGCTTGTCGTAAAATAACACTAGACTTATACTCGTCTCTGCCACTCTTATACTCACCATACATGGGGCTGAGTTGAAACAAAGCTATTGACGCTATGTACAAATCTTTTTTTTTTCAACAAAATGTATATAAAAAAGATATAGACGGTTCCAGAAGGAAATTGTGAATTGCAAAGGTCAGGGCATAGGTCAACATGGAATCAAACAATATGTTTACATAATTGAGGGAATGGCTTCAATTTTTCAATGTCATAGCAACAATAAAGGTGCGTTTTCTATGGGGATTTTTTTTTATGTGCAAAAGAACAGGAGCTATCTGTTGCCAAAAAATCATCACACAAAACATTATAAAGAGTACTGCAGAAAGCCATTAGCTGGCCCATAATCAAACTTACCCGTTACCTACCCACATACCAAATATCAAACTGACCCACTGTAATTCACTTGATGTTCGCGGTAGCAAAAGTTTGCGATCTGAGAAAAATGGGCATGTTCGCAGAACTATTGTTTTAATTCACGGTGGCGGCAGGTGCAGCAAAAAGAAAGCAAATTAATTGTTCATGGTAATGATAAGTTTGCAGTACAGAAGTGACTGCAAAAACTACGAATATAAAACTACTGCGAAAATATCATGATTTACAGTACCGGTACTTTTTTTACCAAGAAAACCAACCAGTAACCAATTCAAAATTCTTGACAAAGGTAAAAACGTAAGAGGTATATTTCAAATATGCCCTCATGCCCTTTGCCATCATCTACCTTAGTAATGATCTGTCCAGTTGCTGAAGTCCCACACCAAATGTCTACGGAAACATAAGCTCCAATTACAGGGTTAATTTATTGCAACTCACTCAGCAAGAATTAGTAATATATGATGATTCATTAGGGCATTACATCCAGCCAACAGATGAATGAGAATGGAAAATAGAGCCATATGGAGGATATTGGCTTATTAGGGTCCAGCACTACAGTGGTAAGGTTTACAGATTCCATTTACACTACAATGAACAATCTACAGGTTCATTTGTCTTTTTTGGCGATGCCTCAGGGGCGGAGCCGCTTTTGGATTTGTGCTTGAGTTATGGATTCAGCCAATTCATTCCTCTTTTGTTTATGTTATGCACATTAAATTTTACATGCAAATTTTATGGAATTATGCAATCTGAGAGACACACAGTGACACACACATACATACATACATACATACACACACACAGAGGACAATTCTTGTATCTTTAATAATCATCAATTCATTCACACATCGCATCCACATAAGGTAGATGATCACAGCTATTTCTGCAGGAGTTTCTGTTTTCTCTTCTGTTCCAGGTATCCGTTCAGTTCGTTCAGTCTCTTGTCACACTTCAGCTCCTGTTCTTGCAGGTACGTGTCCCTTAAACAGTTAAAGGCCTGGATGGTAGCAAAGGGTGTCTGTGTGATGGGGTCAAAATACTTGGCGGGGAGGCGAGTAACAGCGCAGAACGATTTGGCCGGAGGTTTGGGCTTCTTCGCGGGGAAGTGTTTACGGAATGTGGCGTCGTCCGGGAACGTGATGAAGTTACGCGAACACCGCGTGACCTGGGACTTCTGGGAAGGCTGCACAGGAGGAGAGCTGAAAAAGAAAAACAGCAATTAAGTTGTGTGGTGTAGTGGTAGAGCATCCCACTGTCAAGCAAGGAGACCCAGGTTCAATCCCCAGGGTTAGACCCACACTTGTCCGGACATGCACCCAGATATTGTTCCCTTGGGAAAGGCACTTAACACGCATTTCCCACCTCAGAGGGATTGGGCCCTACTAGGGTTTGGGTTGGCGTTAGGAAGGGCATCCAACCATTAAAAAAAATCTTGCTTCAAAACAGACTTGATGCAAGCACATCTAACCCCTAGTTTTGGGGAAAAAAAGACATTAAACTAGATAGAGAGAGAGAGCAGCAGCATACATGTATACAGCAGTTGACAGCATCAACAATCAACACTACAGGTAATGATATGCTATAGTAACTGCATTTAGCTCATGCAGGCAAGAATATGCAAATATATATCATAGTAGATCAAGTAGATAGATTAGACAGCTTTAAACAAATGAGTGCCTAGAGTTAGATGTTCAAAGGTTAGGTGTAACAAGTCATTAAGCCAGCTGCCGCCATTACACGTGACTGCGAAGCTGGTGTGTTACGCCAAAGTGCAGTTATACCGGGCCCGGCTATACAGATAAAGATACAAGTAAAACGTAAAAAGTCTAACCTGTCTCCCACAACGTTGATCTCCTCTGTGTCCTTGGGTAGCTCCTCTATGAGAGGCATGGACAGGGAGTGGTACCTGATGGTGGGACCCTGGTAAGGCACACGCTTCTGGTTCCTCGCTTTTCTCCTCTCATCCTCTAACTGACGATAGGTCTCTGTACAGAACAGAACAGAAAATGTGATGTTGGAAAAGGAGCAAAGCCTGTGATTGTCGAGTTTTGTTTTTTCCGATCTGAATCTTTTCATTTTCATCATGTACACATGTATTGTACATTATGAAATGAATACTTTGTATTGGAGCCTTTGGTATAGTGTTACATTCCGTTTGAAAAACTGTTCTACTGGTAGATCTTGTTTTCCCCCAACTCACCCAAGGAAGCCAGGTTAATCTGTTCTATAATCTTAGTCTTGGTTGTTTAATTTAAAATATCAATGTTTTTGGTGACACCTCAGGGGTGGAGACTTTAGTGAAACATCAAATTCAGTTTGAAAATCTGTTATTGTTTTTGCCCCACTGACTCACCCAGAGAAGCCAGGTTCATCTGTTCTGTAATCTTTAATCTTGGTTCATTAAAAGGTCAATATTTTTGGCATCAGATTCAGTTTGAAAATCTGTTATTAAATGTTTTTGCCCCCTGACTCACCCAGAGAAGCCAGGTTGATCTGTTCTGTGATCTTGGCCTCCTCTAACAGTTCCTCCTGTGTGAGTCTGCGGAACTCCACGGGTTGTTTTTTGGGCTGGATGGCACGCAGACGTTCCCGCTCCTTGTACCTGATGTTACACTGAAGGGTCCGCTCTGCCGTGGACTTACGAGTCTGGATTCTCGCTGGAAGAGTGATGGGACAATAAGTCTGAATGTTAGAGACTCTAGTACATGTAATAATTTGTAAATGCACATTCTCACTCCCATACTACATAGTCCTTCCTGGTCTTGTGTAAGGTACATAAGTGTGTATTTTTGTTTGTTGTTTTACAGTTGTTGTGCAATAAAATTTTCTTTCTTGAAAATGGGCTTCCTGTGGGTGAGATTATTGTCATACAAGTTACAGTTTAAGACTGTGGCCACATGTAGCCAGATATGGTCAGTAGCGATCAACATATATGCCCCACTTTTTGTAGATCCTGCTTCCAAAGTTGAGTGGAGGCATACTGGAAGAAGTATGTAGGCTGTAGCACCCTTCCCCCGACTCCTTTGTACCACACATACTGACCTGAGGGAGGGATGACTCTTTGTTGCTGTGGCTGTTTGGGTTTTTCCACCTTCTGAGCCTGATGTCCCTTCTCTGCTTCTTTTTTCTCACTTGGTTTGGCAGCTTTCTTTGGCTCCTGTATTTGAAAATATTTTCCACATTTTGAGAGACAAATCATTGGGTTGAGAGTGGTTGTTGGTGGTCCTTTGGATGTTTTTATGTCCTTACCCAAGATTTTTGCCAAATCTGTTTGGAAAATCATCTGTCATATGCCACAAAGTTCCTGCAATTGACAGAAAAACAGGTGCTGGCTAGAGCCCTGTTTCAATGACAAGTACCAGGAACAGATAAAGACATCATAAAGCAAAAAACCAACCCTGTAGGCCTTGGTGACGACCCTCCTCTTCCTCTGGGGTTCATCGTCCTCCTGGTCACTGACCGGCTCGTCGTCCTCGGAGGCGCTGAAGTCTGAGTCCACCTCATCCTCGCTGGTCTCCGCATCCGACTCAAACTCCTCATCTCCAGATTCCTGCCGGGTAAATCACAGGTACATGTTGGGTAAACTGTGTGGTAGTTGATGTTTATGGACCTTATGTTAAGCTGTCTATTAATTCTTTTCTGTTGTCAGTGTTATATCTATGCTTTACAAGCACATTGGCAGAACGTACTGCACCTGTGTGAAACCCGAGTATTTTGCATAGCACTTCAGCAGAACGTCTGTTGTCTCATATAAGGTCGAGCATTTGAGCATATAATTCTAATACAACATTGACAAAACATCCAACGAAAACCATGAAAAATCAGGGCTTTGTGCAGACTTTGACTCAGTACATTCTGCCGATGCACTTGCTTTGTATACATGTATGTTATTTTCCTATGTTTCATGTAGATGCAAATGTCGTTCGACGTACACATACTTAGTCTCACTCTGTCTATCAAAACCATGCAAGCTACTTATATTTTGTAAATCATAAAAATGAATAATATCATGCAGGATTTCAGCAGGAAGTGTTTCCAAAATAACTCTTGATATTTCTTTACTCAGCAATTATTTCCTTAGTTTAGCAATGCAGTATATGAAGAATAATTTCATTGCCTATCCTATGTTTTAAATCCTAGTGATCTCTCTATTGTTTATAGGAACTTACCTCAGTGAAGCCTCCGTATGTCGTCTGGTAGAACTCGTCTTCCTGCTCGTCGGCCAGAAGTTTGGTCATCTTGGCCCCGGCGTTAACTCGTCTGGAACGTTCCGCCGCCATGATTTCTTCCCTCCTGAACTTATCTAAGACTTTATCTAAGATGTTAGGAGCGTCTTGATTCCACCGAATGTACGGAAAGATCGCTAAGAAGTACGGAAAAGAAAGAAATGCCGAACAAAGCCCTCCCACCTCTAACTCAGTCGGCCATTTTCCCGCCAATGACCCATGACCTTATCATGACCTGTGAAGTTTCTCTTTGAATTTCTTCTTCTTCTTTTTCCATTCTTCCTCGCAAGTTTTTTTTTATATTATACACAATTTTATAGCAATGTTGAAATATTATCAAAATTTTATGATTTTGTTGTCCAAAAAAAATGACCTCAGGGGAAATCATTGTACATCCGGGTTCTGTGCCGTGACGTAATCGAGTGGCTGCATCAGGACGCGGAGGTAAGCTGTGGAAGACGGTCGTCGCGGTTTCTTCTTCTTTCGTCCTTATTTCCCGCATCGATCGCGACGTTTTTTGTATCAAGGCTTCACAAGACGTCCCCGTATCCTTTCGAGAAGTTTGTATCACGCTTACTGAGACCGATCGTGCAAAAATGTTGTGCGAAATTCGCGTGTATAATTTTTTGGCATGTCAGACGGCCATTTTGTGTAGTCTTGCCACGTTTACCAGTAGTGTTGTAGCTTCGAAATATTTTGCTGTCTAACAATGTGTAAAGATTTCAGATGCTGAAAACTGCATTTCAGAAAGTGATATTAATTTCTTCGTCTTGAAGGATCGTTGAGTTTGTGTATAAAGAGGCATTATAGAAGAAAACTTGTCTGGTGTAAGTTCAGCAAGGCTACACCTGTTCATTTTTGTCAGAAAATGTTTTTGCAGCTGCTTGTAGCAAAGGAGGCGTGGGTGCAAATTATGTTGTGCAGCTGTTGAGTCACCGTCTCGTGACAGTTCCAAGTTGCAAAAGATGGTGCAATATATATTAGTGAATCATGTCTCAGACTTGTGCAATCACTGCTATACAGATTTTGCATCCTGTTACAACTCAGTGTTATGCAAAATTGTGAATTGCATCCTGTTGTGTATGTATTGCATCATGTAATGCAATTCACCACTGGTTGAGACAAAAGACCTTATTGCTATGTTTAGTTCTTGACTCCACATTTCCAGATACTCAACACGACAACAGCAGCGAGTGCAAGACACAAGTAGAAGAGGACCAAATCAAGAAGACACAAGGAAAACGGGATCAAAATGTCGCTCGGAAAGGATGTCACCCCGAAAGTCGTGCTTAAAAGCACCACCAAAATCTCTCTGAATGACCGGTGAGCACACAGTGCCATGGATACAATGGTTCATTCCCCTGTAGGACACCCTGAGTTTTGTGCCTGTTTAAAAAAAAGCCCCAGATACATCTCTCTTATCTCAGAAAAGGAGGTAGAGATCGCGATGGGGCTAGATAATGCATTTGATGCAGTGCTTGTGGCAAGAATGCCTTACATGCGCCCAAATGGGTAGTATGAATATTTGGACGTAAAAGGAAAAAAAGAAAAACGTTGTACTGCACTGCTGGTAGTGAGTATGTAGAAGGCACCACACCATTCGAAACAAATGTTGTGTAATGTGTAGCGATGCCATTGCATAAGTTTCATTGATATTACCAGCATTGATATAATGGTGAACATGAACCGGGGTGTCCCGTTTTGAGAAAAAAATGCTGACATTGAAGATGAACACCTCATCAGATTGTGGTGCCATTTTGTCATGTATTGTTCAATTTTCTTCCAAACCAGAAGCACCCCTCACCGTGGCGGTGTCTTCAGGCTGTGAGGGTCCACCCTGAGCTTTCTCAGTGCCCGTCCGCGCCCTGGGACGCGTGAGTAAGCGGCATGTAGAAAGCGGAGCTGCCAGACTGTCCGAAGCACGCTGTGCTTGTAAGCGGCAGTGGCAGTATCTTGTCTATCTCATCTCTGTCCCATTCATCCTTTGTCTACTTCGACACCATCATGATCCCTTTACATCATGTTAAAACTTGAACCACCCTCCCTAACATCATCCCATCATGATAGCTTCTCTACACTCTTCAGTCTGTGACTCTGTGTGTCATGTGGACCCTCTCGAAGCCCGTTGCATGAACCTACATGTCCTGTGTATTATATCCACACCCCAAGATTCTCCACCCTGGCCAAGAAAGCGCCCCCGCAGCAGCAAGTGCGTGCCACGCTGCAGCAGCAGCAGATGGCGTCTGCGAAGAACCGTCGTCTGGCGCAGCAGATGGAGAACCGGCCGACGGTCCAGGCAGCACTGCACCTCAAGCAGCAGCAGCAGCAGCAGCAGATACATCAGGTAATGTACAGGAGAAACTTTGTTGCACAACAGTAAGGCCTGGACTAAACTTTGACATTGAAAATATTATTAGTGGCCTCATGCGTGTTAAACATGTTTAACTGTATTGTAGAAGTTGGATCACTGGAGATCGCCAAAGTCTGAGAAAAAAGATAATCCCCACCAACTGACCCTAATTTTTTCAAGACTGAAACAGGAAACATTTTTAAAATCTGTACAGAGTACTACGGATGTGTGAATTTCCATGATTTGAGCATTGGTGTTTGATAACAGTTCTTTATTTCACGACATTGTTACAGATGCCCCTGAAACTGCGACTGGGTTCCAAGGGTAACGTGCAGGCACGGCTGGGGCTGCCGCAGCGTGGAGGCTTCCGTGGGGGCGCGGGGGAATGCGCGGCGGGATCCGCGGACGCGGCAGGGGAGGTTCGTTCATGGTTCTCAACTCTCGCTGTCATGTTTTCACTGGATAAGTTTGTTTGTTGTAAACAAAATAGCTTAATTATATGACTGTAATGTTAATCAAAGTACTATGTGTTTCTAGAGTGAGCAACATCCTTCATGTGGGATAGAAATGTTAACCTTCTCTCTGCTGCCTTAGAAGGTAACCAGTAACACGTTTGGTGCCAAAGGGCTACCATGGCAGGCTGAGGGTTAAAGTAATGTCTGCAAGGACCTCTTCCAAACGGGAAGTCGTGTGGTGTCCTCAGTTTGGTCATTATCCTTGCAAAATCAACTGTAACTGATTAGCACTGCTTTACCATCCTATGGTGAAGCAGATGTATGATCAGTTATGACATGTTTAAGTGTAAACTTGGTGTACCTTAGGAAGGAATCTTGTTAAGTATAGGAAAACATGTTTTCTTTCAGTTTTCTGCAACCGTCAATCCAACCTGAGGCCACACCAATCTAACTTGTTCTCAGATTTAAAAAGAATACTAAAAGTAAGCTTAAAAAAAACAGTGAAAATGCAACCTGATGACCAGTTCATGCCTCCGTGTGCTCAGTTTATAGAGTGAATGCAGAAATATTGAAGTTTTCCCTTCCAGTCCTCTGAGTTTATGATGTCTGCTTTTTGTATTTTCTCCTCTGAGAACTAAGGATTGGTGTGGTCTTGTGACAGCAGGTTGTTATAATCAGGTGGGTATTTGATGTGTGTCTGTCCTGTTTATTTGTTTGTTTGAAGGTATCCGGGGCCGGCTGTCGCTGCCGCAGTTTGGGCGCGGCGCCATGGGCCGCGGCGGGAGAGGAGGTTTTAGGGGCGCGGGCAGAGGTCAGAATAATTACCGACCTGGTGGTAATGTTCTTGGTGTAACTTTCGTGGTGTGGTGAAACTTCACGTGTAATTGCATGAAATTTCCCAGTAATCTTACCATTCATTTCACAGCTTGAATAAAGAAGGAATGCCTCTTTTGAGTTCTCTGCCGCTGCTCTAGTCCCCCTTCTGCTCATCTTCCTGATCAGTGGAAATGGTTTGCTGCACTTGTCATTAATTAACGTAGTAACAGTAAAAGTTAGCATGATGTGTTCTGTAACGTCATCTATGTGTTCTGTAATGTCATCTATATGTTCTGTAATGTGATCTATGTGTTCTGTAACATGATCTATATGTTCTGTAATGTGAGCTATGTGTTCTCTTCCCAGGATTCCAGCCACGTGGAGGCCGCATGCAGAGAGGAGGTGGCCGAGGTGCAGGTGGCATGAGGGGGAGGGGGGCAGGCAGAGGTGGGTCTTGGTTTATTCATGAAATGCTCAAATCAGCCTGCTGTACACTTTTCATTGAGGTCATGAGAGAAGAGGACAGACAAAATATAATAGGATATAATGTTACATGATTCCACTTCCCATAAACATATGTCTAGGTCATTAATTTTTCCAGATGAAGGCGACAGTGGTCTTAAAAAATTTTATCTCTGTGTAACCCTTGTTGAAATAAAGTTCAACATTTTACCAAAAATCAGTATAGATCTGTCTCAAATCTGTTGTTGCTGTTTCCCAGGTGCCCCTCGAGGCGGGATGCGAGGCATTCGTGGCGGGATGCGCGGTCGTGGAGGGAGAGGAGGACGGGGCCGTGGTGCACGTGGCGGGATCCAGAACAACGTCTCCAAGGTTGGTTCTATTTTCCCTTAAAATATCCTCTGTGGCATGCCGTGGGGACAAATGTTCCAATTTCTTCTCACCTAGAGGTGTTAGCCATCAAACTTCTACAAGCCTAACCACCAGTAAAAGGGCTGCTTGAAGCATGATGTAGTCAGGCTATTCCTCTAGTCTGTTTTTTAAATTCTGATTTTTTTTTTAAAGCAAACCATGATTAGCATCAAATCAACAGTTACTGCAGTAAAGAAAGTGACTTCAGTATGGGAAATGCCACTAACTTGCCAATCTGAATAACAGTAAAAAACTATTTCCAAAAATGGTAATCTTTTAAATAAGAATAAAAAGAATTGGGATTCTGCAAGTCTATAAATGAACTTTGTTGCTCATATGTTTTAATACGTCTTTTTTCCACTCCATAGGAGGACCTAGACAACCAGCTAGATGCCTACATGTCCAAGACAAAGGGCTACCTGGATGCACAACTGGACGAATACATGCGTGAAGCTGGAGCTGACGAATAGGATGCTAGCTTTACTCTGGGGACACTCCAAACATACTGTAATATATAGGAAAACATAAAAAGTCTTGAATATAAGAACATGACAAGATAGGAAAGCAGGCAGCTTATTTCATTACCACAGATTCAAAAATGTACTGAATGTAAAACTTTAAGAACACAGTTTGTAGCAGAATTTCTTTGGGTATAATTGGTTATATTGATTTTTATTGTCCATTCAATCTTGCCATACTGCAAAGGACTTACAGGTTTTTGTCTAGTAAGTTCATGCAGGAAAATTTCCAGTCAGCAACAACAAGGCAGCAACGTATGTTTTCTAGCATCCTGGTTTTACTCAGTCTTTGTAAATAGACAAGCTTGTGCAAAGCTCTTAGCTATTTTATATTTAGTGTTCTTGTGT